TGTTTCTAAATCTCCTGATGTGAATTAATGGACAACAGTAGAGGTGATCATAAGAATAATAATAATAACAAGGATGATTTCATTCCGTTGTTAAAATAATCTAAGCAATGATGAGTGTATAGGTCGAATGGGTATAGTAGTAGGGGTAGAAAGGAACATAACTATTGTTATTCAAGTACTGGTTTGTAGGGGTTTGATTGGTTACAGGATTTTCATTATGAGCTGACATTATTTAGAGATCCAGTACTCCCAGGTTTTCCAATAGTTCTCTAACTAATGTCAGCTCATGATGAAAATCCTATAACTATTGTTACTTGGTGACTAGATAATATAATAATAATAAATTAAGAAAACGAGATCAAAATATACAACTACAGCACAGTATGATACTGATAATACAGTTAGTATTAAAAATAAAATAATGAGATAATATTTACAGTTACCCAGTGTCATGGAAGATATACTATTTCAGGTTGAAGGCGAAGGCCAAGGGATGGAAAGAGACTGAACAAACTTTCTCTGAACACATAGATTGGGTTGAGAAGTCTTTATGACAACTGCCTCAACTAGGCTTAACGACCTAGAGGGTTGAGGTAGCACCTTGTATAGAATTTGGAAAAGCTGTAGTTTTGTCAATCTTGTGCTCCGTATCCACTAGGTGTATCAGTATGGAATTTCTGATTGACTTTACGACTCCTCTAGCTAACCACGTTGGACAATGCCCCAGAAGACGATGGTGGGCTGGCTGAGTTGTTTAACCTATGTGACTATCTCCACATGAACAGTTAAATTTATAAATGCACATTGAATTGGCCAGACTCAGTAGCCTATCCTTCTCCTGCGTTGGAATTATAAAACGAATGGCGAACTTTAAACACAGTGTTGCGGCAAAGAATGTGTTAGCTATTATTCTTCCAAGTTGCGATGTCAGCAATTCAGTTGCTGTGTCTCCTTTAAACGGTAAATCATGTATATACGTTTCTTCTGCACAGTTTGTATGCATTTCTTTCTATCTGTTCTCCTCATGGAAACCTTAACAAATCTTTCCAGGTATACGTTATCATATAATTAGTTTTCTATTTTCCTTTCTAACACGACACTGATAAGATTTCGTTTGTACGCAGGAGGAACAAACGACTTAAGATGGGTGTATTGGTCAACCCATGATTTCTTCCGGAAAATATCCCGCTTGGTACTGCTATCTTGTTTCCTTGTTAGCAGGACATAGAGAAATGATAAGATGATGTGAACTCAGTTTGTGGGTGAGTCCTATACTGAACGTTTGCAGAAGGACCTCGGCATCGAATTTGTTAATATGCAAAAGATAAAAGTATTGTCCATATCTTTACAGTAGAACGAGAGTTCGTTGATAACATTTTTGAGTGAACGATTGTCTGATTTTGCCACAAACATTTCGACTATGAGAGGACCCTGAGGGGAGCCCATTGCTACACCCTCCATTTGACGGTAAAATTCGTTGTTTAACTGAAACTGCACATTCATCGTACAATGGTTTAGCAGTTCCCGTAGTGTCTGAGACGGTATACCTACATCTATATCATTTTTTATAAGAGATTCACAGATAAAGTCGATGATCTCTAATAAATGAAGATTAGTGAACAGGGAGGGGACATCCATAGAGATCACTGTTTCGTCGTTGGTCTTCTTATCTCTTACTTTCTCTATATATTTCAAACGTGTCCTTCAAATTATACTTAACCACTTTTAGCTGCAGTCGTTTAAGTGACAATACATTCGACCTACACACTCACCATTGCCCAGATTGTATAAACACTTGAATGAATTTATCCTTGTTATCATTATTGTTACGATCACCTCTATTGTTAGCCATTAATTCACATCTCTGAACTCTGATCCTGTATTCTATTAAGCACATTAATTCAAATGCCTATGACTAGTGTTTCATCATTGTAAATGTAAAGCCTGATGAGAATTTACAGAAAATACGTATTTACTTAAATCGTGTTCTATATTTTATAAATAATTTGACCAGATAATATCAGGAAAAATGAATAAAATAATTTGTTTACATAAAAGCTACATAGATAGAAGAATGATGACATCGATTTCAGGTTATGAGTGATAGCATGACACATATATAAAAACAGACTTAATCAATACCATGGTAATTAAGCTGGATGAGATTACCAAAGAATAGTGATCAATAAACATCATAGTAGAAGGGAAAACTAGTGGAATATTTATCAAGGTTAAAACTAGTTGTAGTTAACACATTGGTACAAGGAGTGGCATGAATTCAGTGAATGTTTCAATATGGAATAGCTGATTTGTGAAATAGTTGAAACGGTCTTATACTAACAGCAAGATTATTGACAACAGAAATGATAAGTTTAGTTATTGTTAGTGTAACTGTACAAAGAGATCTTAAAACATGTCTAAGGTACAGTTCCGAAATGAGGGTATCAAGGAATGTAAGTTTCACATTTTGTGTTTCAATGGGAATACAACGATCACAAAATAGTTCACCTGGAGTCCTGTCTTCAGAGCCTGATTTTTCAGCCAGTTTGTTGGTTTTCGCCTGTAAGTCTTTGACGTAGTGTGACATTAGACATATATCATCCACACGCGAAATCCAGATCTTCTGGAGTCCAACGTATTCCTGTCTGCTCACTCCCATGCACAGTTTAACGGATGATCCAGTCCACCACAAGTATGAATATCATTGGTGATAATAGGCAGTCAGCTTTGTCTTATTCCTGTATGCACTTCGAACGCCTCACTGAGTTTTCCGTTGTGGATCACCTGACACGTGACATTTTCATATAACCAGCTGTTGAATGAGGTCGGTAAAGACTAGGGTACCGCACTTCATAGTGTTGAAGTAATTCCCAAATTACTTCCCAGTCAACGCTAACAAAGTCAGTGAAGTTGAGGTGGAGGCTTGACTACTATTCTATACTTTGTGCCCCCTTCACTTGTGCGTCGGTGGCACAGTGGTTAGGACTCTCGCCGACCATGCACATGGTCCGGGGTTCGATCCCCTGCCGACGCACATCTGATATCAATGGTCGGCCTGCTAAATTTGGGCTACCGATATCACATGCTGAAAATTCCATACTTGTACCAAAAATACGGTGTGGAATCAAGCTGTAATGAAAAAAATAATAATAATTCATACAGTTATAATTTGATCAGCACATGATTTGTCTTTCCTGAATCCAGCTTGTTCCGGGCGGAGTTCTGCATACAGTGCAGAACTCGACTTGTTTTACTTTATACAAATTTATAAATATATTATGTAGAAAATCGATATTTTAGTAAACAGATCTAGGCGTTGATATTTCTGCATAAGATTAAAAATAATCTTCTACGTATTACTTAGCAATCAGTAGCACAAAATATTCTGTCAAATGATCCAAAATAAAAGATTATAAACTAATAAGCTGTATGATCCTTTACATGATATTTAAGCCCAATGGTACAAGATTTTATCATGCATACCCACATTTATATCGAGAAACTTCTATTTTTATTAGTAATCTATTTTCATCTTTAAGCTTATTTGCAATGGTTTTTCAAATTTCACATTCGATAGCAGGAAGAATAAATAAGTGTCCACTGGTGACTTTGACTAGCTGAGAAGTTTAGGACACATGCCTTACTCTATTTGAGACTCATCGATCGGAGGTAGGCTGTTGAATCTCCTCACATGAGGAAATGATACTAATTATTGTTGTCGTTTTCAGTTTCTTCTCCTTGAAGAAACTGCATAGTTAGGAGTGATAAATACACTGACAATTAATTATCTTAACATACATCACTAAGTAAAACCATTTTCAGCCTTTCCTAGAAAATATTAATTATAATAGATAAATAGAACTCCACGATCCAAAAGGAACGAATGATATATGATTCACGAAGATGCACCGCCTGAAATTGCTCTGCAGCCTTGAAGTCAAATGCCTGGTTGGTAAATCTGCAAGACAACTATCTGTTTTCTTAGAATCTAGACAATATGTCAGCCCTCACGCAAAACTATAAAAACATTCTACGCTATTGAAATCAATCAAACGATACTATTGAACTGCTTGTTGTTATTTTGCAAACATTTTCTATGTTCATTCTACATGACCACCACCAGTCATTGTTTAAAATTCCTACATATTTTAACAATTTTAAGTCATCGAATAGTTTTCCTCATAAATATGTACTTCAATATAGCATATAACACGGTTATCCCGATAAATACCTTTTGTTTAAGTTTGCTACCTACAACATATGCCTGTATAAGTAATATCTTAGACTTATGTATGATATTGCCCTAAAATTCTTTGATTAACTCCTCCACTTGCATTGTTAGACTAGAAAGTTTAATTATAGTAAAAAGGGCTGGCAAGAGAAGAAATATTTGTCATTCACTTTAGTTTATGCGCCAATAAAAAGGAGATTGGATGTAAATTAGCCCTACCCCATTTACTAAATAGCATTCTTACTCAAGTGCACTCATCATATTATCAGAGTGTTAGGTTATATCTCGAATGCATACACTGGATATATATTTTTCAAAATAGAATCATATAAGTGGTCAGCTTGTGCGTCGGTGGCACGGCGGTAGAATGCTCGCCAACCACGCCTCATGTGGTTCGGGGTTCGATACCCGGCCAACGACGCACTCCTATACCTCACTAAGTCAGTAAAAAGACTGGTAAAGAGGGAAGGTTGAGCATGAGCCGTAAAAATAGAACAGAACCACTGCTACCGAAACTTTACGCCTCTCTAAGCTTGAAGCCATAGGTTCCACTGGGAATGTAAAGGAATTAAACAAATTGGTCAACTCTATGCAAATCACAATATATTCCTAGCTAGCATCAAATTTCGAATCAGTTACTGCTAACTATGTGTTAACTAGCCATTTACATTTGTCATTCTCATTTACTCTAGTCATTTGCAATAATCGAATTATGCTTACAAAATAACTGGAATTCATAAAACTTGTTGTGTCATAAGACTGAATTTTTGTCTTCTGGTTTATAACAGACAAATTTGTAATATATTTTGTTTTCATGATATTCACATCTGGCTATAAAAACTGTGTATTAAGATACACACAAAGATGTAAAACAATCAGCTGAATGGAATGAAATGATCATATGAAATTATAAATAATAAATAAGTGAAGTGAAAGAAATGCTGAGAATGAATTCATGAAGGAAAAAAGAGGAGCCAAAATTAGGTGAAGCAGCAATACACAACATTCAATATAAATAAGTATGAAGTCATTTACCTTATATCCAAATTACATTTATATAAAGGACAATATATTAAGGATACTAGGAGAGTCAATTTAGCCTGCCGTCTTCATAACAGCAAAAAAAAATAAATAAAATAATTCCAAAATAATGGCGTAATATCACATGACATATACAATAAAATATTAAATTCTTTGAGGCTACTAAGATCAGCTTTAAAAAAAGTGAATCTTGTAGGGAAGGAATACCCTTGAATGATTGCCATTCTAAACGCATTTAGTTAATTTTTGTAATTAAGTTATTATGACAGCTTTTGTTTCATAATTGTACATGCCCATTTTGGTTTCTATTTATTAATTCGACTTATTCTGAGATCGTTCTTTTTCATCCACTGAAGCCATATTTATGCAAGCTGCATACAATTGAATAAGGCTAATCGATGTCTTCAAAAATGCAACCGGAGCCAACAAACAAATCATCACGTTTGACAATCCAAAAGATAACACTAGTTGATTATTATCAGAAAGGGAAAAAATGGGAAGGTAAAATAAGAGTTTTACTCCGAAAAAATTAAAACTATAGTAGCATAACATAACAGCATATTTCCATACTGATGGCCAGTAAGTACGTACGACTGCTAACTTACCGAACTAAAACTTGAAAAAAAGCTGGCGAAGCATACCAATTACATGTATATCTGCATAATAGGCGATGAGCCACAATTAACCGTGGTTAGGACTGTACCAGGTTATCATAAGCCACACCTATTGTGAGGCTTAATGAGACAGACCATTCATGTATGGATAACTAGGTGAGGTGGAATTCTGAATCGGGACCATTGTACTGAAAGCAACATGTTAAGGTTAATGAGAAATATTCCCACCACTTAACTAAACCTCATAATATAATCTGTGCCAACTGACACACATAGGACTTCGCGAAATACTTCAGCACTTCAGTTGGTCAAACTTCGGAAAAGGACACAAATATAAAGGAGAGAAATTTAATGAAATCGCAATGGATGAGAGAGGGAGTAATTCGATGAAGACTGGTGAAGGTTTCCAGAACCCAAATGATAACCAGGACCTGATACATCTGCGATATTGATAACGATTTTGATTCATGCCACTAATCATCACCAATTACTGATTCTTAGCAAACCGAGGGCGTTAGACCATATGCACCTTCCTGCATCGTCCAAATAAACAGTTCAAGACTTCGCAGGCTGCCATCATGTTTTGGTATGACAAAGTTCTACTACTTTTATTGCATTATTATTGCTTAGACTGTGAAATAATGGTATCATTTTCAGAACATCAAGTATGAGGCTTAAGTGCTAATCAGAGGAATGTCAAAGTAAGAAATAAGTCTAAGGTGTGACTAAACAGTTTTCTTAATCGTAATGTCACCAAGATTCCTACACTGTCTTCACCATTTAGTCTAGTACAATATAAAAATGAATCACATACATCAACACTATAATGGCATAAGATGTAGACTTACATTTCGGTCCAGGATAAAAATGAGATACATACAGCATCGTATAGAATAATTCATTTCCAGCGCACATCAAAAAAAGAACAACCTAATTGTTTAAACAGAAAATAAACATCTTGTGATGTCATTCACTTTATTTGTATAGTACAGTTTGAGGAACTGGTTACTGTTTAGGTCTACAATTTTGTGACTCGAACTACCTGACAAAACAGAACTGCAGAAGTAATTATTACAAGACTTTTTACCTGTGTAAATGTAGCCAATGACTAGCTATATCCACTATCATGACGACTTGGAAGAAAAACATATACGAAGGGTAGAAATATATCAGACATCCCAACAAACACATTGTTGAGCATCTATCAACAATCATATCGAGCATTGCGCCAAACTTGGTACCTTGATAAAAAAAATTAGTAATAATACAAATAGAACCTACTTTGGTTTAATGATCGTGCAGCATAACCATCAAATGCATCAAGTAGACATGACAAGACATAAGTGAGGAGCGTTATTTCACAACTACTTCTCATAAAATAGCATGCAACAAGCAGAAGTACAATGCGTATGTAACCTACAAAAAGAAAAAAGGTCAGAATGTCTCATGTTTATCCTTGAGAAATGATATCAATTTAACTACAAAGATTAAATCCCATGTTTCTCACCAACGCTTTAGTTTTTCAGCAGGAGAAATGCAAATATCAGTGTTATATAAAACACAAGCTTTTATCGGACTCTCTTAGGTTACAAAGAAAATGAGTTTTCAGAGAAACAATCTCATGCAGATTTATCTGACTAACTGAGTTTCAACATGGAACTTAGCATAGAAGTGCAGTAGTTCAAGTTGCCACACTCCATGCAACACACAAGGGAGAAAGATTTAAAAGAACTATAAAAAGCGAAAGTGGAATTGAAAGAATAGTAACAAGGAAAAGCATGACGGTTTAGTAGGTATAGGAGATCACAAAGAGTGAATGCATCTGTGCCACTGACAACGATTTCGAGTAATATCACTAATACTTTTTTTTACTTTACTTCGGCTATCTCCTACGGGAGGATGAGCCGGCTTCATGAACATCTCGAATCAAGAGAGTTTATGAAGTTTCATCGGAATTTGGTACGAGTGATGTCCCCAGAATCGCTCGGCCTTTTGTTTGAGAGTGCAGCTCTAGCCTTTACACAACCAAGTGTGACCTACAAGGCAGTAGGAGTGGAGTAGGGAGTCCACTATCCATTGGTAGCCGGTGACCGGAGTTCGGTTCATACGCCTTTTTGAATGGGGCCAGACATCCAGGACATCCAACAAGCCCTTTGTCCATACGTCTGCCGGTGAGCTCCAGTGAGCGTCATACGCCAGTCGTTGGAGGTTTGGAATCAGGGTTTAGCCATCTCCCCTAGACTGTCATCCAGTGGACAGTCAACCCGGTGAAGAGCGCCGGGCATCCGCTTTCGCCCTCTCACTTTGGTGAAAAACACCTCCGCCACGTGAAGGCAGTGAGTAGGACTTCCTCAGGAGAGGCTATGTAAGACGCCCGGTCATATGGGAGCATTTCAAGAGGTGTGCGGAGGGGTGGCCAACCCGCAGCGCAAGGCACCCACCCCCGACCATCCTGAGGCTTTGGAGGCAATATCACCAATAATCTCAAACCATTGGTTCTTAGCATCCTGAGAACCAGACAGCCTACACATTCCTACGTGGCTTAAACAAACTGTCGGAGTCTTAATGGACTGATTCCAGGTTTTGGTCTGTCCACCCCTACCTTCTTCCAACCTAATCCTACGTCAGCGAACATTGTTCAATGCTAACCTGGTAGATGTAACATGTGTCCTAGCCATCTCAATCGATTTACCTTCACAACCTCATCGATCGACTTCCTCTCCCAACCTAACACTGCGCCTAACATTAATATTACTCACCATTTATACCACTTAGCACGTGAGAAAGTATGTAAACATCTGTGGTCAAAGATGGCTAGCCTTTTTATATCTTTCCCTTTCAATGGTCATGTCTCACAATCCGTTTACGTGATTTCATCAACTTTTAGCAGTAATCTCTACTTTAGTTTTTTTAATTAAGTATTTCTTCAGTCTTCATTAAACTACTACATGTTACTATAAATAATGTAAAATTTCAGTTTCAACCGCAAAAGCAGTTGCACACTGTCACATTTCTTTCAGCTTCCTATTTTATTTATATCAGTTTAAGATGCTACACTGTTTACGCACTTTTCATTACTTTATTTGTGCGGAAGCCTTCACACTTCAGTTGTTTCGCAAATTAGGAATTCATTACATGAAACCGTCTATTATATGCACTGAAATACATAAAAATAAAAACCAGACATTAAATATTATACCAAGCAGTTTCTAATTATTTTGCTCCCTTGACAATTAAAACTGGATTCTTTTATATAGATCCCTAGCGCTACTTATAACTGGTATGCTTTGCGAAATTCTGGATACTATTAAACAGGGATCAAATGAGGAAGTATCCTCTACGTATACACTACTTTGAAGGGGAAGAAACAGGATGCACATTCACCGGCAAACACTTTCCAAAAGGTTTAGGAAAACGATTAACTAACTCAGTCTCGATCTAGATTATGGGATCTCAAATTGTTTATTGACACATTTTTGTCTAAACATTCAACTATTACACCGAAAAGACTGCATTTGAATAATTTTTATCATTTAGGTGCCACGCATCAAAAATAAGTCATGCACTTTTGTTTGTCAGTAATTTTGCAAATATTTCCAAGTCTCATCAAGTACAACGGTGGTACTTTGGACGGGAACCCATGAGATGAAAACCATACACTTTACCCGAGACAAATGTCCATTTCAAGCTACGTACCTCAACAAGTGAAACAGTATTACATTAATATAACTAAATCACTGACTCTATTAATCAGGCAGTATTTTCCTCTAGTTCGTCAATGTGGCTCTGCTTCAATGCCGCATTTCACTAAAATACCTCTGGGTTACACAGTGTATACTTAAAAACGATAATTTAAACGAACTACATATTTTGGCATATGTGCCGGAGGTTGACAGTTATATATTCATTTCAGAACTTATCAGCACTGTTACAAAGACACTACACACTTTCAGATACGTCCTAACTTCTTGATACTTTCAACTGCAAGAGAAATGTTACCTTTCAGAATAATAAAATCGGTGAAGTTAAAGAATATGAATCCAAGAGAACTACAACTTCAATACAAATGAGGCAGCTAATCACAGTTTGGAAGAGTGACCATAAGGTAATTATGTAAAAATTATTACTTATACTGATAATGCATCCTGACAAGAATTTATAGACCAAATCTAGGCTGGGAAAAGATTCTACCCAATCGGGCATAAATGGTAAGGAATAATTGAATTATGAGTAGATCCAACAGTACGAAAAAATGAGCAAATTCCGGTAATGTGACGTAAGCTTTCCTATTTTTACTGAAATTTCACCAATATTTTACAATTTTGACCACTATTTCCCTTTGGATTGTAGAGTATTTTGTCAAATACGGCCAATATTGTCCATTTTTTAGCTAGCACTTTTCATTTTAATCATTGTCTACCTATGATTTACCTATTATATTTTCATTTTCACAATTTGCCCAAAATCTGTCCACTTTTGTCCGACTGGAATGAGACCGAATCCTAACTTTATCTTATAAGTTTATCTGCCAAATGTGAACAATAATAATGGGAGGCGAATCGGTACTTATACGAAACTTAATTAATCTCCGAAAATCCCAAAGTAGGCAACCTGTTTAACATTCTTACACTTCTTTAAACATTTCGGAGCGAATATGCAGATATTTCTGCATTGTGTTTCCTTTACCCAAATAAACAAGATTTATTCTGATTGACTGCCTTACGGACTTCGCAGTGGTTGTTCGCTTGGATGAATATAACTTTATTAGCCGTAAAAGTGTCTGTCGCTCTTCCAGTGAGAGTTGAATCTTAACTCACGGTTGTTCGTATAACAGCCATATGCAAGCGATTGGCAAGTGAGATCTTAACCGATACCTACCCAAGATATTTGGTACAAATAGGAAGACGCTCATCTTGGCGGCAGCCAGTTGCTCGGTGAATTAACCTTGATCCGAATTCCCGCCTTCATGAGGTCTTATCCTGAGGAGCACTAAAACAAAGCATGGACATGAAGGCATTCTACGATAAAAGGTGTTTGGATCTAGTGTTTCTTATTTTTCAAGGCTTTCAGTCAAAAGTTTCGCCGTCATATGACAGCATCTCATTCTTTGTAACAAATGAAATTATGTGTTGACGCTGAATATTGAGTTAATAAGACAATATTTTATTCGAAGCATTCACCATTGTCTTACCTCATTCATCTGCTTTTTTTATGGCGTTTAATACTTGTTGGTTACTTATAACCAAAAAAATCCACTGATAGCTCATAAGGACTTCACAGATAAAATCCTCAGTTACGCAACAGCAATCTTAAGACTCTGGAGGTCAAATTAATTCACAGAATCACAGATCAGATTGTCCATCCACACTTAGTCAGATTTTAAATTTTTGTGAGATTTATACAGAAATGTCTGAAAATCTAAAGGTTCCAATATGTAATAGTCCATGTTTTGAAAGCGAAGGCACCAGGTTTGAAGACGATCTCCAGTGGTCCGATGAAGCCTAGCTAAGTCCAGTGTATTGATTCGATTGCTCCTCTCGTCTTCTGACTGAAAAAAGCACTTCGACCTCCTTCTTAGTTGCGCCACCCTATAATACTACACCATATCGTGCTTGGTTTCTGATTGTCCGTAATATCAGCTACAAAAGGAACGAGTGGGTAACAGTTATTTCGCGAGTTAAGCGTAAACTACTGTTATTTCTCTCTGATCGTTGCTTCGACTCCAGATCTTCTCCTTCGAAAATATTCTGCTCATTCCATATTGGCTTTTGTGTATATCGCCAGTCACATTTCATAGACAAAACGCAATGAAATCGATCTTCGATCATCAGGATGATTCGAAAAATAGAAATCGCTGGACAGCGACAGTCGTCAAAATGATCTGGTTGAGGGTGTCATCCAACCTTTATTTAGTCAGCAGACCTCACCGTTGCGCAGTGCGGCCAAGAAAAATCAAACAGACTTGTGCTCATGTGATGATTATAGTGTCTCGAATTAGTAAACCGGACTCCCTGTGTGTTACATGTAGGACTTTTATAATGGTCTTCGCAGCGCCATGATAATCACTGAAATGGACTTAGTTCACGCTTATCACAATATTCTGGTGGCTGGGGAAGACATACCTAAAACAATCATTATCAATCCCTTTGAACTGCATGAGTTTTTGAAAATGCCATTCTGTCCATAGAATGCTACATGAACTTTTCAAAAATATATGAGTTACTTATTGTGTTAAATGTTATTTCCAGAGGTATACATAGATGATTTACTCATCGTAAACCACATAAATATCACATTCGAGCAAAGTAGGAGAAAACAGTATGACAATCAGTTAGATCAAGCGCGTTCGGAGACAGAAATAGCAGAGTCCCTGAGATGACATGGAAAGCACTGGGAACGCATCAAGACACAGGGAAGTTGAAACCATCAGACAATGTCTTTTACCAGCTTTACTCATTTGCTTTTGAAGTTTTCTGGTGTTAGTAAACCTCTGTCGACGTTTCATACTTGAGTACATTAAATAGAGCCTTTAACCGACGAACTTGGGGAGAGGGGAATCAAAAAACTTTCAGTTTTGTGAAGAGTTATCTGTTGCAATCACAATACTAAAACGTTCTCTGGCAGAGGCTTTAGCCTAGGATACCCCAAAACAGATACTGCTATTCCATTAAAGGTAGATGTACTCTGTAAGGCTGTTGGAGCAGCCCAAAATCAGCTAAGAACCAGCCGTATTCTTTCCTAAACGTCTAAGTTCTGTGTAACCACAGTATTTTATTTTCGGTAGACAATTGTTAGATTAGGTGGCGTAAGAATGGCTCAAAGAGGTTCTTCAAATCCATTAAACTTCAGTAGTTTCATCCCCAGCGATCAGTTCGTTTATCTGTGCTTACTGGAACACACTATGGATAGCTATATCTTCGAAGGACAAGATCTCGAGTGGCTTCATTGCATATCCCCGCTAATTAAGCGTTAACGTCCGTTGCTATGTTGGTTTAGTAACAAGTTATGTTTTTATATGCTTTTCAAATGAAATTTAGCCTTAAAAAACTTTTCTGACGTATATTACATCGGCGGCATTTACATTTACTGCACTTGTATCAGGAAATGTCGCTTGATACTGATATCCGCGCAATGTGATGGATGAAATAAAAAAGGAATCTCAAAATTTAAACGTGTATTTTTGAATTTTCATGGAATCCTACTGGTATAAATAAATAAATAAATTTATTCTCATAGTACAGTACATGAGTACATGCCAGTTTACAGGCATCATCAAATTGTTACAGAAATAGAACCATATAATTCAAACACAATTTACAGGCAGTAGCAAGATATGCTTTACATGTTCGCTGGAGATTATACATACACTTGATAAATGTTAATCCCAGTAGTATTAAACAGCCTTTTCACTTATATACAATCATTTCTGTTTCCAAAGTTGGAAAAATCTGCTAGATTGTCAGTGAGTGCAACACAACAGGAAATACAGGAGTATTGTCTTCGCATTAACAAAAAAACCAGGTCTTTGGTGGATGGATTATAAGCGCCTGGGAAAAAAATAAAGCTTGAAGTAAATATTCATACATAACTTTGTTGTGTGCAGAGTCCTCGAATTATAGTTCATTGATGTGTTATTTTGAAATCAGTGATGTGTTTATCTCATTTGATCTTCAATGTCATTGTTGGGAGTAAGTACATAAGCTTCGGACGCATTAATTAATGGATTTCTACTGCTTGTGGGTATTTTCTTAGCGTTAGGAAGGTTTATGAATTTCAGCTGTTCCGACAGGAGTTGAGAATATTAACTGCTCAGCAACATTATGGATATAAGTTCATCACATTATCTAAGGAAAGGTGGGTTGCAGTTGGTGAGGGATATATGGTGCCCAACGAGCGTTCATCTGTCCATGTGATGTTGTGGTGAGTTATACCTTTTTCATGTTGTCGGTTTATGTCCATTTTATTCCACTTATTGTGTTGGGTAGTAGTTTTACAAACGAGATTTCTTGTCTGTTTGAGGATACGTATCTTAACCGTTAATGTTTTATCTAGAATTATAAATATAGGCAAAAAACAACAGGTGTAGTATTTAAGCTTATACATTAAATGGGCCTATAATTTCGGAGGCTCTCAGATAGGAACTAGAACTACTATCGTTTGCAAACTCTTGTAGTTTGTCATTAAGCACCTTTTTGAAGAAGGCCAATGTACTTGCTTGACGCATTTCCATTGGCAGTTTATTCCATATCTGTGCATACCTAATCAAGTAAAACGTTTGCCTGGTGGCCGTTTTACATTGTTCGATAGCTACTGTACCCTTAGTGTGTCTTAGTTTGTAGCCATTGTCATCTGAAAGTCGAGTGCCATTAGTAGAGGTAAAAACTAAGTGGTTTAGAAGCTTATAGTAAAGTGTCAAGTTTAGTCTCAGGCGTCTTAGCCATAGTGTTTCTAGTCCTAGGGTATCACATCTAGTAGAGTAGTTCGTACCATTTTCAGTTCCGAGTAATTTTAACGTGAAGTACCTCTGCACTCCCTCGACTTTCAATTTGTCCTCTATGCGTATGCTACTATACACGAATGAACAGTAATCAAATAAAGGACGCACACAAACCTTGTACAACAGAATTCTAGACTCATTTCTGTAGAAGTTCCTGAGTAGAAAGCCGATAAGTCTGCGTGACTTTGACACTTGTTTGGAGATATGTTCAGAAAATGATAAGTTATGTGAATATTTCAGCCCTAGGTCCAGTACAGATTCCAGTCGTTGAAGTGCATGGCCTTGAATTGTCAGGTTAAGTTCTAAATTGTTGCAACCTATGCAGAGCCAGCCACATTTTTCGACATTAAATTGGAGTTGCCAGGTGTCACACCATCTATCCATTTTTTCTAATTCTTGCTGTATGGCGTTTACTGTTATTTCAAGATCTGTGTTCTTGCATTTATACGTCACTTTTAAGTCATCTGCATATAGTATTGGTTTACCTACACTAAAGCATTCACAGATACTGTTTATATATATTATGAATAAGAGCGGGCCTAATACACTTCCCTGGATTACACCACTACTTACTGGTTTAGGTCTTGAGATTATCGAGCCAACTTTCGTTGTCTGACTTCGGCCACAGAGAAATGATTTTATCCAGCTCAGGAGAGGATCACATATCCCTAGTGAGCATAACCTGCTGACTAGCAGATTATGGGGAACTCTGTCGAAGGCTTTTGTTATATCGAAATATAGTACAATTACTATTTTTCTGTTGTCCCTACTTCGTGTAACTTCATTGAAAAGTCTATGTGACAGGTCACACATGATCTTTTTTTAAGAAATCCGTGTTGTGATGGATTGATAAGTTCATGTTCTAGTAAGTTGTCTGACACTTGGTCTTTAACCACTTTCTCCATTATTCTGGATATTACCGGTGTTATATTGATAGGTCTATAGTTGCATACACTGGTTTTGGCCCCTGATTTGTGCTTAGGTAATATGTATGTGGTTTTCCACACTTCAGGATAAGTTCCAGTTTCTAATGAGAGAGTAAATATTCTAAGTAACAAGACTACCATTTCCGTGCTACCATTTTTGTACATGACAGATGGTATGTCATCTGTTCCAGTATTACCATTAGACTTCAAAGTCTTAATCGTTGAGTCTATATTTTGTATATTAAAGTCTATTTAGACTAATTTGTGGTTACTTTTGCAGGTCATTTGGAAATTTGGGGTCGGGTGCACTCTAGCGTCATTGCAAAACCACTCATTGAGGAGTTCACTTATAACCTGGGGATCATTATATATTACACCCTTATGCTCCAAGCTGCTTGCATTATTATCTTTACTGCTTTCTAGACGTTTCTGCAATATCCTACAAAGTTCCTGAGTTTTGGAGTTACCCACAAGCGCTTTATTTTCTTCAAGTTGTGACATCATTTTGCGTTTATCTTCAAGCCGTTTAAGAGTTTCATGTATTTGGTTTAACGCATTAAATTCCTTAAATACATGGTATTTCCTTTTCAATTTCTTTAGTTTTAGTCGCGTTTTGCGGTCTATAAATGGAGTTGGTGTCTTTAGAGCAGAT